GCAGGAGGGAAAGCAAGCTCACGAGTTTTAGGGCCAGGGAGCGCCAGGCCCCAGGGCCTCCCCATCCTTGGGCGACGGGCACAGGGCCACACACACACCAGCCTGTGGTGTGTGCAGTGAGCACGCGGGGCACCCTGTGGAGACTGGATTGCCCACCGGCCTATGGGGTACAGGACACCACTTCTGGGGCCAGGATCTGATCTCGTCCAATTCTGCATGTGCCAGAGACACGGCCCAAAGTAGGAGGTCACGCGGGCTGTCCATGACCCGGCATCTCCCTCACAACGGCAGGACCCCACGCCCTCACAGCACGGAACAGGGGGCCGCACTTAAAAATGCCAACCCACTTGATGGAAGTCTGCAGGTCTTTGGGAAAAGTGAAGAACCACCGTCCGTCAGGATCCTCGAGGTCCCTGTGTGGCCACTGACGGCAGGCGGTCGGGATGGCGCTGAGGAGCTGGTGTGTTGGAAGCGAGTTATCTGGTCCTGTCCCTGCTCACGCCATGGCTGTGGGGCATCGCGCCAGCTACCCGACCCCTCTCTGTGTGTGCCTGTGTCTGGACGGGCTGTAATAACGATGTCAACCCTCAGGGTGATGTGAGGGTCAGACGAGGACATGGGCAGGGTCAGAGCAACCAGGGCTGGTGGTCCCTGCAAATGGGGCTCAGAGGCCCCTTTATAGGCTACAATTTGCTACTTTTTAATAAAGATTTTACTTATTTGACAGAGAGACACAGCGAGAGAGGGAACACAAGCAGGGGGAGCGGGAGAGGGAGAAGAGGCCTCCCGCCGAGCAGGGAGCCCGATGCGGGGCTCGATCCCAGGACCCTGGGATCATGACCTGAGCCGAAGGCAGACGCTTAACGACTGAACCACCCAGCTGCCCCAACAATTTGTTATTTATTGAAAAAAGATCCAGCTGTTTGACAACTACATTTAAATAAAATTTCAACTTAGATTTTTAGTGACTTGGAAAAAAATATGCCTGCTGAGCTCCTGGAGGCTCATAGTCAGGGGCGGTCTTCACCAGCGTCCCCTCAAGGCTGGCGGGCCAGACGGTGCTGAGGGCACAGCGGCCCCCCCGCCCACGGCCGGAGGCGGGGGGCACGTGTCTGCTTGGAAACAAGGCCCCAAACACCCCTGTCCTCCCACATTTCACATTGGGGCAGATTCTGTTCTATTTCTGTCAAGAGGGCTTAATCTAATCTCAGAGAGCAGGTCCTGGTCGGCTGGCGACTGCAGACATGCCGTGGACTCTGCCCTCACCAAAGAGACGAGCGCAGAACATGGGGGACCGAGCACACGTGCCCGGCCACAGACACCGTGGAGGAAGCAAGGACCAGCTGCGTGCAGCCCAAACACGCAGGGCTCTGCTCTGGGAGACACGCACGCCGGCAGGGTCTTGGGCCGGCGGGCGGGCATCCCTGCTTCGGTTAGCCTGAGAACATGAGAAACTGGAAATACTCGGATGTCAGAGTTGTGTAGACTCAGAGAGGCGCCCCACCACTCAACGCACCACGACGCTATCTTATCTGTGTGCCCCAGCCCTCGCCCGGGTTATTTTGGAACGGCCGCGGCGCGGCCAGCATTCCTGCAGGATGAGCACAGAGCTAAACTGAGCGAGCCCACGGCGCGGGCCCGAGGCCGGGCCTCATTGCCTCATGGTCACCCCAGACGTTCACTTTGCAGCCGCTCACTGATAGCACACACAGGCTGGTAGCCTGAACCTTGTGGGAAAGCCGCGCTTATCTGTAAGTCGTGCAAACACACGGTCCTGCCGTCCACCTGCTCCCTCCCCGCCCCTGTCCCCCCAGATTCACCGCATCTCCCCAGGACGCGCTCTGTTTAAGCAGATATCTGAATCCTATTTTGGGAGATGGCGTTTTGACTCAAATTCATTGGGATTTAGAAGTAATCCCCAAACAATATTATCTTAATGGGTCCAAATTTCAAACGGGCTTATTATTTTCTATTCTTTTGAAAAAAAAATCGGAGGGCTTACTGTCTGCCGTGAAAGGTGGAACGCTCTCCCCGAACAGCCCCAAAGTGAGAGATCCAAGTGGTTTCACTCTGGAGACACGTTTACAGACAGGAACCAAGAGTCACGATTTCGGAGGCTGACGGCAGACAGGCAGTGACATGACCCGTAGGGGCCGTGCGAAGGGGCGCTGGTGCGGGGGGGGGCCGGGGGGGGGGGGGGCGGCTCACCTGTGGTCAGGGCCCCGGCCGTCGTCAGGTGCATGATGGTGTTGTCACTCACGGGCCACGTCTCTGGGGAGAGGAGCAGGTGGTCCAGGCCCCCGCTTGTCTGCGGCCCCTCCTGGACCTTCCTGCCCAAGGCACTGCTGTCCTTGTGGGTGTTTCTGTGCCCGAGCGCGTCCCCCACGGCCCCCAGCAGCATGGCAGCCTTGAACTTCTCCATGGCGAGGCCGTTCCTCTGGCCCTTGGCTTTGCGGCAGCGGCCTTCAGTGCGTCCCACCGACCTCTGCCGTGCTCATCGTGCCGCTCTCAGGAGCTCCGGAACGGCCGGCACGCCTCGTCTGTCTCCGCCGGCGGGCAGCACCAATGAGAACCTCCCTGGCCCCCTCTGCTCCCGCGCCGGCCGAGGAGCCACGTGGACGGTGTCCCTCCCTCCCGCGTCAGCTCAGGCACCAGCTCGGAGCCGAGGAGCCGGGGGCTTAGTCAGCGTCCCCAACAGCTGCGGCCGCTTCCCCGCAGAGCCACGACCTCTAAGCGCTGAGCCCTTGCCAGCGCTCTGAAGACGCGCGCACATTCCTGAAGCTTCAGGGTGGAGTCCACACGGCCGAGCCGCAGGCAGGCTCGGGCTCCGTCCGACCGGCTGCCCCCCTCCCAGTCACCTGCTCCTGTGCCCTCTGCCCCGACAGCTCGGTCTTCTCTCGCATTTCAAGTAAATGGAATGTAGACTCTGTGGCCTTCGTGCCCGACTTCTCTCTCAGCAGAACGTTGAGTTTCATTCATTCCATGCACGGTTTTGCTTTTTGGAAAACCTTTTTGATTACACACTGCCTGGCAGAAAACCTAGGAAACGCACGGGGCCAAGGAGAGGAGCGGCTCTAGCTTCCGTGCGGTGTGGAGCTCGCTCCCCGTCCATGCAGCGGGAGTGGGTTCTCCTGGGGCCGGGCTCTGGACCGCAGGCTGCACGCAGACATCCCCAGATCCGCGCAGAGGAGGCCGGGGTGCGGATGAGCAAACCAGGCTCTGGGGTGGAAGTCGGGAGTTAGGAAGCAGTGTCCCCGCCCGCCATGGGCCTGCGGGACCTGGCCACTCATCAGACCAGAAGTGGGACCCATCACACCTGGATCTGAGAATCATGCCTGATAAGAATAGCATTTCTTTCACTAATAACCAGATACTGAGGTGCACTTGAGCACAGGAAGTATTCAATCAGCACTTGTTACAAGGAGGCTCTGGAATAGTCTTCCAGCCAGCAGGGTCCCGTGGGGTGAGGCCTGTGCGCGCCCCATCCAGCGGGACAAGACAGACCCTCCACTCAACCACCCGATGTGGGTGGAAGAGCGTCATTCGAACAGCTACTTGGAGGAAGAGGTGGTCTGTGGCTCATTTCTTCTGCTGGCTCTGAGGCCGTGGAAACCTTTCATGAAGTGGCCAGGAGCAGCTCCATGCCGTCCAGCCGGCGTGGGCACCCCCCACCCCGTGGGGGAGCATTCATGGAGCCCCACTGTGCGCCTGGAGCCCCCCTCGCAGCCTGGAGTCTGAGGGCTGGAGTGCCGCACACGCCCCCAGCATGGGAAGACAGGGTCCCATCTCTTCCAGAAATTCCTGGCAGGCGCTCCGTGTCTTTGCTAAGCCTATTATATTTGGGTGGTTTGTGTATTCTCAATATATTTACAGTTTGCATTTCAGTGTGTTCTGGTATATGATGCCCATCAGCTCAAGGAAAACCTCTAATTTTCACATGGAAACAACCACATTTAGTGAGCACACTCTGTGGTGATGGAAAGGAGAGCGCCGGCCAGGGGGGCTGTGGTCCTGCGGGTCCCGTGGCACCCAGCACCTGAGCAGCCGAGGACAGAACTGGAAGGACACCACCACACCACAGAAAATAATTTATTTTAATGTTTCCGAAGCTCTTAGCACTTTCATAGCATGCATGCCTTAAATATACAGAAGAGAAGAAAAAGAAACCCACGGTTTTTTGAAGAGCCTTTGTCCAACCACTAAGGTTCTGTTATCTATTGATAAACAGCTGCACGGAGCCTCCCATGCTGTAACTCTGAATCTTAAGAACGACCAGGTGCTACAGACCTCCAGGATTTGTGGGAGATTACCCAAGCTCCGCAGCCTTGTCTGAGCAGAACACTTCCATGGCAGGAAGCCACGAGGCCTCGAAGGATGTGTTAAAATTGTGGAGGTTTTTATTCTACAAAGTAAGCGCTCTCTTAGAACCCCAGGCTCGCAGGCGGAGACAGCCTTGTTTGCCCCTTTGCTGCCGTGGAAGCGCAGGCCCAGGAGAGCGGGCTGGGGCCGCCCCAGCCCCGACGGTGGTGTCCCAGCCTCAGGCCCCCTTTCCTGCCCTCCACAGCCTGCTGTCTCTTTGAAAGACTCCTTTCCAAAAGCATACATAGTTCACACACAGCAAGTATGCAAAAACCCCCCCATTGGGCACGGATGATTCCGGAAACTCAGAACCACGTTTGTGAAAGTCGACTCAAGCACACATTTCAGGCACACTGTCCATGTACAGAAAATCCAAAGTGAGCTTCCTCTCTCCCGTGAAGTGACCCCAACTCGTCTGTCTCGTACACAGGGCTGCGGGCTGGCAGCAGGCACACCTGTGACATGAAGATCTTTGCACGCATGAGGTAGGGTCCACACGGTGCTTTTTAGAACACGCAGCTTTTTCCAGACGGAAAGCAGGTGGCATCGCAGGTGAAGAACACTTGCCTCCCATGCTCGGAGGGCAGGTTCTGGGCCTCGCTGGATGGTCCTCTGCGGCTAGCAAACACTGGAAGAATCCGACAGCAACATGACGAGCATGGGCTTCAGGTGGAAATGAGGTGGAGGTTTTCCCGTGGGTGTCTCAGGCAACGAGATGTATGCAACCATGCACACAGCCGGAGGGCGGGCGACGGGCCTCTCAGACGCTGGAAGGAACCAACTCACATGGCTTTTAAATCTGTAACCCTTTGCTTGTAAAAGAAATACTTTGCATGGAAAAATGTCCTTTTAAATGTAATAAAATACATTTTTTAAAAAAACATACTTTACAAAATTTTTTAGGAAGCTCATTCAAATGACATTGGAAGGAAAAGACCCGCGACTTGTCACCAGTTTCCAATAATGCCCCCAGGGTCACAGCCCACACGTGCCATCACCTCGCAAACCGCCTCCACCGAGAACCACGGAATGACTTTCACGTGAACATCAACAGGGAATTAAAATAAAAATAGATCTAATAAATCTAGGTATTTGATAATTCAGAAAATAGAAACCTCGAATTCCTGGCACAAGTTTATCAAATGTTCGAATCCACGTCAGATGTTCTGTAGGGCACAAGGATACCAGCTTTGACTTGCAGACAAACACAGCGTCCTGCCGAGGACACAAATACTGTTTTTTAAGCGGAATTACAAGGCGCCCCGGCAGGAGCTGTGGTCACTGCTGGCAATCACCGTACATCATGAATTAAACGGCATGCTCTGCGTTACTTTGTCACAAGTATAATAAAAATCAAGCAGAAATCTAAAGTAATAGCCACCCCCAGGCATCCCGAAGCAGTGTCTTCTGAGGAGCTCCTTCCGGCGTCCAACTCAGCCCTTTCTGTAGCAGGGGGAGGTCATTCCAGCACCCGGCTGGCCGAGGGCGACTGCCAGGGCCAGCGACAGGGGCACAGTGACCGACCGAGCATCCCCTTGCAGGAGGCCCTTCCTCTCGGCATCTTACTTTTCTGCCTAGAAAGGGCTGCGCTTAGTGCCCGTGACGACCGGCCGCGCGTACTCCACGAAATCATCTATGAGAACAGGCCATGCTCCTACGGGGAAGCAAACACACAGGTATTTTAAGAAATCAACAGTTTAGAGTAATATTTTTGTATTCAGAGCGTTCTCCTCACAGTCAGTGTCTGTACTGCAAGAACTCAGGTGAGTTTCCCAGCCTGTTTCTCTGAAGGAATTGGTCAGTGAAACCCACTTCTCCAGCTCTGGCCAGACCCGCTCGAGCAGACACGGCCTCTAACAACAGGGCAGGCGGGGCTGGCTGGCCGCAGGGCCCCCTGCCCTCCCTGCGGAACACGGCCTCCTGGCCGCCCGGCGCCCTTCCTTTTCCCCCTGGGGCCTTTCCCCTCCAGCCCAGGCCACCCCCACACTCCCAAGTGGCCCAGACCACCCAAGAACCTGGGACACCCCCGCCGGCCAGACGCACACTCACTGTAAGCGGCTGGCTCCTTCTCCGCGGATGAGCCGTGTCTCGCTGCCGTAGCTAAGCTCCCAGGAGCAGGGCCTGTCTAGGGTCAACCACCCGCCCGTTCACTCACACCCTGCTCCATGCCCAGCGCGGAGGACACACACAGACACGGACGCCGGGTCGGTGAGCCCTCACTCGCCAGCGCCAAGAGCAGGGAGGTGAGAAGCGGCCCCAGGGGGTGGCCTCCAGGCTGGGCATGGAGGAAGCACACGGCGGGCGGGCGGGCCGACACGGAGCCTCCTTCCCTACCGTGGCCAAGCGCCCCGGGCGGCGGGCACGCAAATGCTCCCCAAGCGGCTGGCCTGAGATAGCTGGGGGGAGGGACCACAGATACGTGACTACGTTTACATCAAGCACCAGCTGGAATCTTCAGGCCGACGTCAGTAGCATGACAGGGGGTCACACAGGATCGTGTACCTGGGGTGGCGGCTCCCAAACACCTCTGTGCACGGCCACCTGGGAAATGCTTTAGTTTAGGGGACACTCTCCTCTGGATTGAAGCTACATCTTGAAGCCCTACTTCTCTTTCGTGCAGTTGACAGACACACTAAAGGGGTAACTATTATTACGGCCATTACCCCCACTGCCCTGAGGGGGCGGCCCGCAGTCGGCTGGAGCTGGTCAGCACCGTCCTGCACCCCGGGGCAGAGAGAGGCAGCCTGCGCGTCAGCGTTTCTGGCCACCATCTGAAGCACCAGGACTTCCCGTACCTTCTTCGTCATAGTTAGACATATCATCTGCAATCATATTTCCAAAATCTAGCAGAAGGTTCCAAGTGTCCCTTGGGATTGATCTTTTGTGATGCTCCTAATACATAAGAGAAAAAAACCCACCAGACCTGAGAAACAGACGTGACCTCCGGCGTCCCACTGTCTAGTTGGCTCAGTCTGCAATCTGATGTGGACTAAGAACCACCACTCACACTGCTGGACGTTAGAACAGTAAGAGGCTTCCGGATAAATCTTAGGAGCTACATAATGCCAACATGCAAATATGGAAAAGTAGACATTTAAAATACCAAGATTATAATCGGTTTCAAATACGAGGGCAGCACTTCAAATCTCTACCTAACCCCCACGGATTCAGACACAATGCAGGACAAACAGGCAAACTGCATTTGGACACAATTTCTTTCTTTCTATACTAGGATGGGGTGATGGTCTAAAAACATGTGATTCAATACTTGAGATCTACCAAACATGTGGAAAACACCGCATGTCCGTGCTGGGATGCGCCACCTCGCGGAAGGCTCCCCCCCGCAGTCCTGGCGGCCACGGTCCTCTCCTGCCCTCCCCTCCTAGCACAGTGCACCCTCCTCAAGGGACCATGCACCACGCTCAGCCTGTCCTTGTGCATTTATCTAGCTACCCCAGGACATGCAGCAGCTTTCTGCCGCTCAACAGTGGGCCTGGACTCAGCTGTGGTCACTGTGTCTGGGAGCGTTCTACTGAGTTTTCACCCGCTCTCCTGTTTAGGGCTCTGGGGGGTTCCCAAGGTGCTGCTGTGAGGGTGCTGTCCCATCTCTGGGAATGTCTGCAACTGAGGTCGCCGGCCCCAAACTACTAAGTGGTGGAGCAGAGGAAATGCGATGGGCGTCTCGGCTCTCACACGCCGCTTCAAGGAGGCCCCTATACACACGGGCCCCCCGAGGGAGGATGGGCCTCAGCCAGGCCGGGGTCTGTGCTGTGAGAAGGCACCCCTCACACGTTCATGGAGGGAGCGACATGCTGGGTCTGGGCACACCGACATCATGTGACTGTTCTGCAGCGAGACCCCATGCTCCACACGCTCCACACTGTAACACCCACTCCCTGACTCCCGGCAAGGAGGGGCCGCCCCACCACGAAGGCCCAGCACCACTCAGAGGCCCGTCGCCGGCACGGACAGACTCTCCCAAGGGGCCAGCTAAGCCCTCCTTTTTCCTTCTGAACATCGTAAACACGTTTAAAAGTGTGTCAGACTATGAGCGCACTGGACACCGGGATACAATCCACAGTCCGGGGCCAGGATCAACATCCAGGACATGTGTGACTGGTGCTTTCTTCAGGAATTCCAAGTTTCTCAGAGGAAGCACAGAATTAGTTTGAGTTCCTCAGAAAAGGTGGAGGATGGATGACGGCCCAGGTCTGCAGGGCATCTGAAAGCCTAGCTGGGGGTTCTGTGTGTGGCTCCCTGAGCTGCTTCGGACATTGGCCTCAGGACGGCCCTGCTTGGAGCTCCGCCGTGTGGCCACCGTACGGAACCCCCACGACCCACCGCCCGTACGGAACGCCTCGGTCAGAATACACAGCCTCGTAATCTGCTGACCCCATCACACTGGGCACACACAGCAAGAAGCCAGAGGACACTTACCAGTAAGAAGGTATTCCAAAGATCTAAAAATTTAAACCTTCCAGATAATACTAAATTCCAGTATGCAACAGCCATTTCTAAATCTGGCAAAAAAGAGAGAAAGAGCAGTTAATAAATCCCAATTTCTTTTTCCACTGCCCAAAACGTGACCACTTCCTAGCACACACTTAATTCACTTAAATCAATAAAACTCAGCACTCTTACCCAAGAGTCAGATGAAGTCTAACCCTTACACAGGTGTTCCTGAAATTGTGTGTAATCTAATCTTGTAACTCTGGGGATCTAGGCAGTTGTGATTCAGACATGTAAATGATTATCCCTTCATTAACATCAGTGTGGCAGACTCTCATTTTCGTACGCGTCAGGCTTTCTTCAAACCTGACTGAACCAATCTGGCTACAATTTGTGCACATCATTTATTATCGGTGCTCTCCAAGTGGACCTGCCATTTGCCACCACGGGAGCGGGAAGAGTCAGACTCTACATGCACTATCAGGGCTCCACATTTCTCAAGACCATGGCTAGAGAGAGAACGTCCACTGACAGAAGGACACTTAGAATCTAGACTGGGTATTTGTCAGAGTCAACATCCTCCACCTTCCCCGACACAGACCCTCACTTTAGGGCCAGGGGGAAGATGATGTCTTATGGAATGGGGTCGCTGAGTTTTAGGACTGCATGAGAATACTATCCTAAGCCATAATTTTTGGAATACTGACTCATTCTTTGCTTACTGTAAGTTTAATATCTATTTCCTTCTGTATGCTTGACATAGCAAGTATACTAAGAGGCTGAGCTGAGTTTGCTTGTTAAAATTGACAACTTTTAATCATGTGCTTTAATCCCAAGTGCTCACCAGTTTCAGACAATAAAAGAACAGTTAATAATAAAACAATTTCCTAATCACATGTTTACATACATGTGTCGGGATGGGCTAATGTGAAAAACAAAACAAATAAATTCTTAAGGTAACAGATTCTTTTAAATGCAAAATATCCAATTAACCACTTTTCAGAAAATTTTCATCTAATTCTTGGTTGGTCCCACTTGGACAAATGATTAAAGTAGCTCTGTAGGGGCACCTGGCTGGCTCAGTCGGTAGAGCACACAACTCTTGATCTCAGGGTTGTGAGTTTGAGCCCCATGTGGGATGCAGAGATTACTTAAATAAAACTTAAAAAAAAAAATAGAGCTGTAACCTGAGATTTCCAGGAAAACTGCATAAGCAAAGCGAAGTATGAGTAGCACCAACTTTAAATAAAATGCCTATATTCTCCCTGTTTAAAGTCTGTTACAGACTTTCTCAGTCTTAAACACGCTGGAGTCTTTTTTTTTTTTTTAA